TTTATTTTTTGCATTTTTTCATTGTATGTACACAAAGAAGTTCACACACACACGCCCTTACATACCTACATACATACATACATATAAGAAAAAAGGAGAGAAGAGACAGATTATGATAGAAAATGGTTAGATAGAGGAGAGAAAGAAGGCAGATGGCTAGAGAGAGGAAGAGAGAAAGAAAGCAGATAGGGAAGGAAACAGGAAGGAATTCAAGACTTAAATAAAACTATATAAAGCAGATGGTGATTTTAAATAATTTACCAAACTGAAAATTTGTTGGTACAGATGATGGCCATTGTCAGGGACTGGTAACCATATCAGGTTTATTGATTCATATTCAAAATTAAGTATTGAGTATCTTAATTATGTTTGAATAAAAAAATCATATATCGATATAGTACCAGAGTGGTAGTAATATTAGTCGTTCATGATTTTTATAAATTTCTCCCATTTTTTCCACCCTAGTGCAAATTTGTCTTTAACCCTTTCCCCTTTAGTATACGTGATATATTTTTGAACCTTATAATAATCATGGATGGCACAGGTTAGAGCATTAATGCTGAGGGACTTATGTAAACATCTAGTTCTGTAAATATATTGTTTTATGAGTAAAATAATTTGGTTATCAACACTATATATTAGGTTGGTCCCATTATCTATCTTGCCAAAAAGTATTGTTTGTTTGTTAACAGTAAAAGGAATATATAAAGCATCTAGTAATCTATCTAGACTTTGCAAAAGATTCTGGACTTCATCACATTCCCAAAACAGGTGTACAATTGTTTCTGTCTCAGCATTACAGAGAGTACATAAAGGACTATCTAATATCCTTACTTTAAAAAGAAATGAGTTTGTAGTTAAGATGTTGTGGGAAATTCTAAACTGTAGCCATTGAAATTTGGAACTTTTAGTGACTTGAAAAGGTAATGTATATATAGCTAGCCAGTCATCATTTGTGAAATCAAAATGTTCCCCCCACTTTTCCCTTCCCTTGGACACAAGTGATTTAATATTGTTAAGTATTCCATAAAATCTCTTTGAACCTTTATTGATATCTAAAAAAATAGATATGTGGACTGGTAGAGAAGGACGTATAAATTTATACTCAACAATATTATAATTCTGCAAGCTTTTCCTTATTGCTGAAATTATTGCATAATATTTCAAAAAATCAGTGTTTATGTTAAATTTCTGAATAAATTCCTCATATGAAAACAAAGTGTTATTACTAAAATCCTTAACAAAATCACCAATTAGATAAACACCTTTTTCATACCAGTGTGGGTAGAAGATTGTTTTACCTCCAATGGTAATATTACAATTATACCATACAGGTGTTAGCAAGAGTGATTTCCCTTTGATTGTTTTCATATTTTCTGAATTTTCTAATCTCCCCCAAGCTTTTAATACATCTTTCCAAAACAAATTATCACATATATCTGTACTTACCTGAATAAAAGTGCCTCCAATATCTAAAAGCCTATTAATGTTTACGGATTTTATCAGAATACATTTCCATTTTCCAGAAGACTGATATAACCGTTTGATCCAACTCAATTTCAATGAATCGATAAAATTAGCAACATGCAGCATTTTTAACCCACCAACTGTATAATCCTGAACTATAGTTTCTCTTTTAACTTTATCAACTTTACTGTGCCATAGAAATTCAAATAATATAGAGTTAATTGTCTGGATTGTTTTACCATCTGGATTGGGCAGGGAAATAAATAAATGATTAAACTGTGAAATCATCAAAGATTTAATTAAGTGGATTTTTCCTATGGGAGTTAAATTGCGTCTACTCCAAGTATTTATAAGGCTTTTTAGTTTTACTATTTTCTTATCAAAGTTCATTCTGACCATTTCATGGAGATTAACACTGAAATCAATACCCAATAAACAAAATGTTTCTTTTCCCCATTGTAAGTCTAATTCTGGTAAAAATTTATCTTGACTGTGTTTCTTGCTACCGATCCAAATGACTTCTGTTTTATCGGTATTCATTTTTAAGCCTGAGACATCTGCAAATGTTTGTAATTCACTTATTGATTCTCTTAGGGAGTGTTCTGTACCATCTAAAGTCAAATAAGTATCATCTGCATACTGAGAAACTAGAATGTCTGTATCATCAACTTGGATGCCATGTATATTTTTATTGTTTCTGAATCTAATTGCAAGAATTTCTGCACAGAGAATAAAGATGTATGGTGCTACCGGATCGCCCTGACGACAGCCTCTTTTAATAGAAAAGAATGATGACAGATTACCCCCTTGATTTACTGAAGCCCCTACATTTCTATGAAAAAGTTTTATCCAGTTACGTATACTATTTCCAAAGCCAAAATAAATCAATACCTTTTCTATGAATTTCCAGGACACTGAGTCAAATGCCTTTTCAAAATCTACCATAAGAATCATACCAGGAATGTCATTATCTTCTGTGAATTTCATAACATCATATAGTAGCCTAGTGTTTTCACCAATGTATCGACCCGCTAAAAACCCCGTCTGATCCTTATTTATGAGTTTATCAAGTACGGATTTTATCCTTTTTGCAATTACCCCTGAAGCTATTTTATATACAATGTTCAATAGAGTTATTGGTCTCCAGTTTTTAATAAAATGGCGTGGCTTACCTTTCTTTGGAATGCAAGTAATAATCCCATAACGTTGTGTGATTGATAATTCCCCTGTAATGTATCCATAGTTTAAAGACCTAACAATAAAAAGACCAAGTTGTTTCCAGAAAAACTTGAAAAATTCAGCCGTATAACCATCTGAACCAGGACTTTTGTTATTTTTCATATTTTTTAGAATATTATATGCTTCTTTAATAGTTACTAATCCTTCTAAATTTCTAGACTCAGCTTCATTAAGTTTTGGAATGTTTTCAAAATCAAGAAAAGTTTCGAGAGTTATATCATCTAAATTATTATTTGAGTCATAAAGTTTTTCATAAAAATACCTTATTTCATTCAAAATATCTTCTTGTTTTGTTACAAAACTACCATTACTAAGCTGTACTTTAGGGATAATTTTAGAAGTGAAATTTCTATTTTCTAGATTAAAAAAGTAACTAGTTGGCTTTTCTCCTTCCTCTTCCCATTTAGCTCTTGATCTCACTATACTTCCCTTAATTTTTTTAACTCTAATTTCCTCCAGTTCCCTCTTCTTTCTATCTATTTCTGCTACATCAATAATCTCTTCTTTTTCCAATGCCTCAATAGACTTATTAAGCTCATTTTCCTGTATATTTTGTAATTTCTTTTTGTAAGCAGCATACGATATAGTTTTACCTCTAATATTCATCAACAAAGTTTCAAGAAATAACTGATCATTGATTTTCAACTGTAATTCATCATCCGCAATAAGATCAAGATTTTCCAAATTGTAAACAGGAAGACAGTATTGCACTTTTGTTTCATTAATTACATTTTTAACAACGTCTATATATTCTGTATCATATAAAAGAGAGTTATTAAATTTCCATAATCCTTTACCTTTTTTAAATTCCTGAAGTTTAACTGTAAGTTTCGGAAAAGAGTGATCAGAACGATAACCTGCCTCTATAGATGGCCCTTTCACACTACCTAATAAATTTTCTGAAATTAAAAAGAAATCTAATCTTGACTGTTTCAATGGATTTTTTTTCCTCCAAGTATACCTTTGGTAATCAGGGTAATACTCTCTAAAAATATCAACTAGATTATAATTTTTAATAATATCTAAAACTTTATCTCTAGCTTTTGGGTTATTCACAGTGGTGTAACTATTATCGTAATCTTTATTTGGATCTAGAACAAGATTAAAATCTCCACATATCATTACCTTATCATTTCCAAAACTATCAATTGTGTCAGACAATGTATTGTAAAAAAATGGATCATCTAAGTTGGGCCCATACAAGTTAATAAGCGTAATACACATATCTTTCAGTTGAACTTCAACTGCCAGAAAATTCCCAGTCATATCCTTCTTTTCCTTAGTTACTTTAAATTCAAAATTATTATTAAATAGAATAGCAACACCCCTAGAATTCGATTTAAAAGAATTAAAATAGCATTCATATCCCCACTCACTACGAATCATGCCTTCCTTTTCCCTGATGAAATGGGTATCTTGTATACAATAGATATTATAATGTTTCTGTCTTAAATAAGAAAACACATCTTTTCGTTTGATATGATCCCCCAGTCCCTGACAGTTAGCCGATAGAATATTTAATTCATCCATAATCGAAGTGATATATGTGATCACCAGTAGGAAAAAGCTTCACCATAAAAAAACTTGCGAGAAACAGGAAAGCGGCAGAGAGAAAGCTAGTAGTCGAGAGAACCATCTCTAGATCCAGATGAGGTAGAAGAAAAAGGAGCATTAAAGTTCTGCAGAGAAGAAATGAAAGAGGTGTAAGTAAAAGCATTTTTGAGTGGCCAAGACACACTGGACCACCACCGAGCACTTACAAAATCCAGCTGAGAGCAGGCCTGCTTGTTGTTATCACGGATAGCCGGAAGTCAAATGTACAGACTAAACATAAGGGTAAAAACCGGACCGGATCAAATTTTCCGGAAATATATGGTATTACAAGGAAAATGAATACGGCTATTATGGCATCATTCAAATAGAGAATATATATATATATATCTGTAAAAATACTAAATCAAATAATAATGAATGGGATATATATAAGGTAATAGATAAATAAATAGATCATAATATAAGTACATGAGGAAAAAGAAGAAAATTTAGATCACCATAAGCAAACGAAAGCAACTCACCCTATAAGCAATAGGAAGTCCTTAATCCATTACATCCCATGAATTCTATACACTCACATCGCACATACATGTATGCCACAACCATTATATTATATATACGAGAAAAAAAAAAAAAAACCCAGACAACGTCGGTCTTTGAGACACTAGCTTGTCTGAGAGATCGGCACCAGTTCACATGACTGGTGTGTAAAGTCCTTACCGATCTCTATTATGGCACAGTTAGATCCTGAAGTTGTCATCGTTTAATAGGAATGATTCCTCCAGTGGCGTGTCAAACATGAGTCTTCGTCTTTTCCCATTAGTAAGAACCACGAACAGTTTTCCGTCAGAACTGTAGGAGTTCTTTACACAGTTCATTCTGTATGCGTCCTTGAGTATCTGCTGATTTAATCGCGTAAGATCCTCAAACACCACAAAGTTAGTTCCTTTCAGCTTCTTGCGGGCACGAAGAATTTCCTGTTTTTTCCATCTATGTGTAAACTTTACAATAATGTTCCGTGATTTGGAGGCACTAAATTTACCCAGCCTATGGGCGATGTCAATATCTCTCTCCTGCACAGGAACCTTCAAAGTATCACGGACAAATGTAACAACCGAGCGAACACAGTCCTCTACAGTTTCTTTCATGTTTTCATCTTGGATCCCAACAATCCTCAAAGAATTCTTTCGTCCCTGTTGCTCAAGGCCATTGTATTTGCCAATCATTTCACTATGCTTTTCCTTGACTTTTTCACACTGTTCCTCCAATTTCGACACTGTGAGTCTGAGATCCGTATTCTCATCCTCAAGATCTGAGACTCTGTTCTCCAGTAGCTCGATTCTCTCCGCGTGCTCTCTCTGTATCTCAATCTTTAGTTTCTCGAGTTTTGCGTCTAGAATATCCTCAGTAACAAGTGTCCTGAGAATCATAGAAATTTCATCAAGTCTCTTGTCCGTAGATTTTTCGGTAGGATTAGATCCAATACCGCTGCTTCTGTTGGTGGCACTCTGGGTACGAGTCTTACTCGGAGGCATCGTGAATAACGTCCAGATGGAATAAACAGATATTATATATATAATTTCAACGTCCGACTATGTAAGTTGGTTACACACACAGAGGCGTACCAGGCAAGCGTGCTACATAAAGGCGCTACGTATGAGACCAGTAGTGCTGAGTAGTGGTCAAGTTCTGCCGGTCAGTCCATGATAACTATTCATTAACACATAATATGTATTTTCTGGTGAAAATACACAAGATCGTCACTTTCACTCCGATAGATAAAGCTATCAACTAGCCCATATCCAAATATAAGGTTGTTATACTCTGTTTCTGTAGAGAAAATTCGGCGTTTTTACGGAGCGATATGAAAGTCGACTGTCCCAATTCGACCAGGTTTCAGCACGAGCAAGAAGATTTGACGGTCCTTCGATAAAAATCTCGAAACAATCTATGATAACGGCAACTTTAAGACCAAAGTTCTTTCTAAACTCCATGGGATAGTTGATCTCAACTGTTCTCGGTCGGGCCACATGATTAGATCTTTCATTCTAACATACATGATATGTATAACACGGTTGAATGTTCTGGATACTGTTGATGCAGATACACCAAATCTGTAAGCTAAATCTTGCACACTCAGGTCTAGTCGAAGCTTCATCAGCACCAAAAACAATTTCTGAAAGTTTGTTAAAATATTTCTGCCATTGCCACTGATGTGTGGATAAAAAAAATTGAATAATGCCATCAGGCTTAAATATCCAGGAAGACCTGTGAAGTATTTCACCTTCTCATCCTTGTCTTTTAGAGACTCTGGTGTGATGTCCTGCTCTTGTAACTTCTTCCTTAAATCCAAGTTTTCAGTGGTCAGAAGCATTATGGGTAGAGTTGTGACGTCACGAGAACACTAAGAATTGAACGATGCCCGAAAATCTCATACCTGCTAGAACACACAGGAATTCAAGCGGATAGCCACACGCAACACAATATATCAAGCTGCTGAAAATCTTGATGGTTTGTACTCTGATATGATTGAATATTTCTTATTTTCGTTTTCAGATTAGAATCATGACATAAAATATTGACCAATAACGATATGAAAAATTGTATCTTTACTCGACTCAGTTACAAATCCTGAATGACCAAGAACAGGTCGAGGGAGTAGTATTACATAATTTACTAATAAATAGCAGCAAGGTGAAGACATCTTCAGTGATATTTACATTGACTTGGGAAATAAATATTACTATACACAAGTAAGGTTATTTCCTGGATATAAATATTACTATATATAAGTTACTATATATAAGTAAGGTTATTTCCCATGTTACTATAAATACGTAGTCGATTGTGTGTTACTATATATAAGTAAGGCTATTTCACATGTTACTATAAATACTTAGTCGATTCTGAATAAAGGCATATTATGCCTCTCCAAATCCTGTCCGTATGTTAGTGTGGAGTCACTTCTTAGAATTCAATTATGTTAGCAGTTGATTTGCATTTTTCCTGAAATTCTTGGTCATGTTTGTGATATACAAGTATAGCAGTTTGGTTACGAAAAATACATCCATACATGTATATATATTTATAAACTCCATAACAATTACAAAAAATGAAACCTTGAGGTGTTTCTATTTATTTACTTTTGCTTTATTTGCTTTCGTTAACACATATATTAGTTATTATGTAAAGGGCGAATAATTAAAATGATGCATTTTAATGTGTTTTCTGCTCTGAAGTTGAAAATACAAATGAAAAATCATGTCGATTACATACTAATTAGCTATAATATATTCTAGCAACGTAGATAAATGTGGTTGCCTTGATGTTGGCCCCAAAATCTTACTGGTGACGCATTTCATTCACAAATTCACCATTTCACATAACGTTATGCGTGAGGTATAACTATTTCCACGTAACGTTATGCGTGAGGTATATAACATTTTATGACTAGGTTCGGGGGAACATCGTATGCATTCCGTGGATTTAGATACTGTAGTTGAGCTCTGTTTCCTTACCTGGTACATGTAACTCTCCTGAACATGTTTAAGGATTTCCTGCGTCTGACCTTAGTGTTGATTTCCCGCGTTATTTTTTTGGTAAATAAGACCAGAGGTACAACCACATTACAAACACAAATGTTTGAAGGAGAAAAGTAGAATTTCGACACTTTAAAATTGAAGTTATTATACCGAGAGAACACGTGGATGTATAAGAGTGCATAGAATGTCATTCTTTCCTGCAGAGACATGTTAGAAATGCCAGTCTATTAAAGGGTCACGTGAATATTCAACAAAGTATGACATCACGGACATTGAACCAATGACAGTACCCGATATTTCTGAAGCCTATGACTACTTAA